GGTGGGCCAATCAGGTTGCGGGTCCTCGAGAATGCTAATACAGAACAGTGGTAAAGACCTATAAGCATCTTTTACTGTTGTGTAGCAGTGATCTAAAGTATTTTTGCCTCTGGTGGGACAATTTACATGCTGGAAATATTTTGGGAGCTCTTTCTTTAAATTTGCTTGATTGAAATCTCCTAAAATGATGGGAAGGGAACCTGGGTGTTTGGCTTCAGCCTCCATAATTTGATCAGCAAGAGTTCGTAATGCCTTGTTTTCATAGGCTTCTGGAGGAACATACACAGCTATTAGGAGAAATGAGGAGAACTCACGTCGAGAGTAAAATGGCTTGCAGTTGATGTGTAAAGACTCTAAGTTTTCATCACAAAACTTATATATTATAGTTATATCCTGAGACCAGCTGTTGTTGATATATAAACATAATCATGCATTCTAACCACTGCATTCTAACCACTGCATCACCAGGGCTCTGAGAAGAAATATATAGAAACATACTGTCAGCTTGGAAGCAATTTTTCTTTGAGGCTTCTGGGCTGCCACATTCAGTGCCTGGGAATTTGGGAGGGGGATTTCAAGGAGTGGTGGCAGATTAGCCACAACATTCCTTTCTCAGAAAGTCAAGGACATGTTACCCTGCACCTGGAGTGGAGTGACGGGGGATAGTCTCCAGTTGGAAGGAAGGAAGGATTGGGCCATGTGATAGATGATTGGGTGTAGGAGTTGGAGTTTGGGTTTTCTTTGGGCTAGGAAAAACCCAGAATTCTCAGATTCGGATTTTCCCCAGATGTGCCAATATGACATCTCTAATAAAATGGATCTTTGGGAAGATGATATTCTCAGAGTATTTTTCTTTGGAGGTTGTTACTTGCAATGCTGACACATACTTTATTTTAGCCAGGAATTTATGCAACCCCAAAGACTACTATTTTAAATGGGATCAATATAGTCAACATTTCCCAAATTGAAGCTCTCCTAGCTTGGAGTGATGGGAAGTGTAGTTCAACACATTTGAAGGATGGGAGGTTGACAGTGCAATTTACTCAAAAACAAAGATTTGCAAGCAAGATGGAAACAGCCAGTCTTGCCATATATCTATTTAAAAAAGGACTGTTAATAAGGCAGAATGCTTAATAGCAGTTACTGCTAAGTAATTAAAATTTCCAATTCAATTAAACTGTAAAAATATAAGTAGATACTACACATGAGCAATATAGGTCATATCAGAGTAATAAATTGAAGGCAAACAATTGTAATTTGGTTCAAATGAGGTAAATTTCCAGATAAGGCATATATTACAGTCTTGAACTTTAATAACCTATATTTCTTCTATCTTTCTTATTCTTAGGTATTTGTAACTATCTTCTTCACATACCAATATGGTTAGTTAAAGCTTTCTAACATGCTTTACAATTTTTTTCTGATATATTTTATCCTGCAAATGTTTATATAGAGAGAAATGACACCAACTAACAACCCAGGAAATTAAGATGCAAGTAAGGCTCCGGTCTCCCCAAATATAGACATTTCCTTTGTATGAAACAGGAATATATTAATAACCAGGACCAAGGAATTGATGATCTACTAAAGCAAGGGACTGTAAATTGGTGCAATGTATTGTGTGGAATTGTGGCTGCAGGAATTATCTATCCAATTCCTTGACCAACAATTTAATTACAAGGATAACCAAGCTATTATGAGTTTCTTTTTAAATTAATTAAATTTATTTTGTTTCTTCACAGAATTGCCTTTTCAATTCATTTGCAGTTCCATTTCAGATTTGAAGCAACTCTCCAGCTCTATTTCCTCCAAAATTTTTACATTGGAAGCAAGAAACTATGGGCTGTTTAGACTTCTTCCAAGATTACCCTAAAAAAAAGAAAGAAAGAAAAATATTGCTAATCAAATAAGGGTGGAAGGAGCAATAAATGATCTTTCTCAAAAGTAAATAGTAAAGATCCTGAATCCATTGTTGTGAAACACATTGGGATTTTGATTTAAGACCTGAAGATGACATCAGTAGATGCCACTGCATTTGCCTCCATACTTTAACTCAATACTTATGCACAAGATAAGGATATGGTCCCATTCATTAAATATGAAAGCAGCTTGCCTGCCTGTCTTGAGCAATCAACTCCTTCTGCTTGTTGTTTGGGAATTGTAGATTAGTGACATCCATGATTCAGGATATAAGGGACTCTGCACTTATGTGCATGTAGAAAGGAGTGGATCATTTTGTATTAGTGCAGATTGTTTTACAGTTAGAAATATTTCAGTTAAAACTGAGGAATAAATCTTTAATATAGGACATTGAATTTGTTTCATGTACTGTTTCCAGATTGTTGACTGTTTGATAATTTTATTCACTGGAAATAATGAAATAGTAATTCATGTTATTCTGCTGGTTATTTTTTTTCTGTTTTCTGAGCTTTTGAAAGTTGGCCTTGAATGCAATTACCCAAGTGCTAAGTCACAGTTAAACATTAATTTAACTTACCCAACCACCCTGTCTTTCAATATAGCCTCTCAGTTCAGGATTTCCATTGATTGTTTCTGTGAGTATGTTTATCTGGCCCTTATCTCCAGTTTTCTTCATAAATTTCACAAACAATTTCACAGCAGCAGCTAGAAAAACTCTTTCAGGCTCTAGCCCAGGAGTTTGACTGATCCAATTCCTGCTGAGAGATTCTGTTACTTCTCCAAATTTCTTTATCTGTAAACATAGAGTGAATATTTCAAAAAGAAAATGCAACTATTGTAAGACAACAGGCATTTATAGTGGGGAACACTTCTGAGTCATTTTAAAATTTAAATCAAAGATTTATTAATAGGATCAAATATCTATTTTGTTCTACTTGTACAACAAAATTGACAATCATAACGCTTAAAATATTTCAATTAAAGCATAGAATAGTCTAAGTTTCATGAACCAACCAGTCCCTTCTTAGGAAAAAGATGAAGATCAAGAGCTGCTGAAGAGACAAGAAAATATGAAATAATGATGTCCTTTTTGACTCATTAACTTTAGAATGAAAGCCTAACACAAAGCCACTGTCTCACAGACAATCAATATCATTATACTGAAAGTGAGAGAGATGCAAATGGCAGATTGTTTAAAAAAGTTTACCTTGGAATGATACCTTCTTAAGAAGAGATGACTTCTGCTTCTAGAATCAACCTTACCTAATAACAGTCAATCCTTACAGTAACACCCATAATAGCGTTTTGGGAGGGAGTGGCATAATTCCAAAACCTTACTGTCTTTTTTAGTCTTTCCCTGGATCGATCTCCCCTTGTTCTACTGTACCCTCTGAACCTTGATTTCTAATTACAAAATTCTCTGTTCGGTTCTCTGGGTTGAGTCTTGACTGTGTTTTTGTTTACTAGTGTCAATGGAAAAGTGCCCTCCTGGTTTTGGACTCGAGTCATTGACTTCTTACTCCAGTTTTTATATTATTCCTGACTAAAGCTAATAACTAGATAATAAAAATGAAAGTACAAGGATTATGGACAAAGAAATCAGAAGATACTACAGCATTATTTGTATTAGTGCCTAAAATAACAAAGGAATGAAAAATAGACAGTGAAAGAAGAATTGAAAGAAATAAGATGAAAGAACAAGGATATAAATGGCAACTGCAGTGCCTTGAATCCTATAATTATTGTTTGTTATATTAATCTATTGGTCTAAATAGGTCCTACATAGCTCTAATCACCATCCTGCTCTTGAAAATGTAACACAGAATAGATGAGAAACCAGCATGAAGTAAAACTTCCAGTAAAGATACACAACCCTAGAGGGTTGCATTGCTATTGAAATTGGTCAGATGATGAATTCTGGCTAATGAAATCTCTCTGGAAAAAGAAAAGATAATGAGATCTCTCACATTTATTCTGGACAGCTGGCTCTTGTTAGTAGATTGCAGGAGCTGAGGTTTTTGTGATTAACTTGGCTGCGAATCACGGATTCAATCCAGCTGCAATATAGTCTATTGAGGGCTGTCAAACTACCGGCCCACTGGCTGGATGGGTCATGTGCATCCTAGTTCCGCGAAAGGGAAAAACATTGTGAAAGGTCACGTGATGGCAATGTGACATGGCAAGTTTGATACCCGTGGATATGGACATATGGCTCACTGAATCTCATTTCTTAATCACTTTTGGAAATTGCTTAACTGCTTTTTAGCTATTAGGACCCTTCACAGTGATAAGTTTTAGAGCAATGACTTAAGGCTCTTTCAATCTTTGATGAAAGAAGTTGAAGGACTTTTTTTTAACGAAAGGAAAAAAGGATCCCTAGAACATTGATTTTGGAAAGTAACAAGTGGACTAAGGGTTCAGATGGATTTGAAGTAAGATTTTGAAATTGATTATAAGATTAATTTCCATGGGAAAGAAAGAATTTTGAATTCTTTAAGAAATGATAGGATGGTGCTTTGAAAATTGGTCACTAGAGGGAACTAGAAGGAACCAAATAAAGGAGAAAAAACAGTTAAATTTGATTTACTAATACAGAATGGAGAAAAATATTTTAACATTGGCTAAATCAGGGGTGTCCAACCTTGGCAACTTTAAGACTTGTGGACTTCAACTCCCTTCAACTCCCAGAAAAGCTGGCTGAGGAATTCTGGGAGTTGAAGTCCACAAGTCTTAAAGTTGCCAAGGTTGGACACCCCTGGGCTAAATTGAAGAATGCAGCTCTTTGGGCTCTCTGCTGTGGCTCCTGGTTGGGTGATCTTACCACTGGCTGGCCCCCGCCCCTTGCCCTCCCCTCCCTGCCACTCCTCACCTGGCCTCAAACACAAAAACCAGAAATGGTGGGAGGGAGGGAGAGAGAGAGAGAGAGGAGAGAGAGAGAGAGACCAATTTCCCACAGAACATCGGGAGCCACAAACACCAGGAGCCACAAAATCTGGGTAGGAGTGGGAGTAGTCATGTGACTGGGTGGGAGTGACATTGAGTTGGCCTTGCCCACCCAGGTTTTGTGAGGAACGGGTCCAAATGGCTCTTTGAATGTTTAAGGTTGCAAACCCCTGCCCTACAACAACCCTGTGAGATGAGTTGGGCAAAGAGAGAATGACTGGTTCAAGGTCACCCAGCTATCTTCCATGCCTATAACACAGGAGTGGAACTCACAGGCTCCTGCACCTTAACCACTAGACCAAACATGTAAGTGAAACTGTAATGTCTTAATAATTAAAAGAGATATAAAAAAACGAACCAAAAAAGCCTGAATAACTTTCCTATATGGGATTTACAAAAGAGACTTTTGTTAACATTTTGAAGGATTTTGTGAGAAAGGACAAAGAAAAAAATGAAAAGAAATCAAGTTCTAGGACATTATTTGAAGAGATTAAAGATTAAGATTGTTAAAGTAAAAGGGTGTGATTGCGGTTATATAGGTATGTTGTTGATTTTAAAAAGGTGTTAAAGATTAATAGATAAGAGGCAACTTATGGGAACTAAAGTTCATCTACTGTATTTTAAGATAAGTTAATAGGTTACTAAAATTGTTTATGCCTGTTATGGAGGGGAAAGTTATTTATTTATTTTACTTTTTTACTATATCATTTTTCTTTCTTTTCTATTTTTCTTTCTATTTTGCCTTCTTTTCTACATGGGTTTTTTTTATTCCTTTTTTTAAAATTTGTATTCGTTCATACCTTTTGAATTGTAACATTCAACAAAAATACTATTTTTAAAATAGAGCAGAAAACATATTAAACTAGGACAGATCAAAGCAGCCAATATAAAATGCTTTGCAACTAAGAGGCTACAACCAAGTATTCTGCATAATTTACATCTACATAGATAATTTCTATAAATTAATGGTAAACTAAACCTGATGAATTTTGGCCAGAATGCTTAGGAAGGTAATTACCTTTCTTATGCTTTCCTCTGCAATAACTGCCTGTACGTGGCTTTCAATTTCTGCGTTGTACTTATCTCCTAAAGATTTCAGTGAATCGGCAATATCAACTGGATTAAAACTGCTTGCAGAACCTGTTGGTTAACAGAAGGTCAATACAGATTTATAGGTTCTCTCCCTATACAAAAATATTCTAATTCAATTTCTATTCCATTTCAATTCTAACCCTTTTGACACATCCCATATAACATTTACCTACATTTTAAATTTAGCTAAAGAGAATTTAAATTTGCTTATTTAAAAAATACAGGTAATTCTCAGGTTACAACCACTTGTTCAACAGCTATTTGGAGTGATGAAAGTGCTGAATGGGGGTGAGGGGGGACTTGCAACCAGTCTGTGAAGTTGCGGTTAATGCAACATTCTTGTAGTCCAATCCTTGTGGTCATAAATTCCAACATTCCTTACTGGCTTCCCATAAGTGAAGTCAATAGGGGAGCTGGCAGGAAGCCACAAGTTGCTACTGCTGGTTTTCCACTCTGCCTATGCTCTATAGTGCGAGCCTTTGGCAACTTCCCAGTCCCCTATGGTACCTACACACCTTTCAATGCTTCATAGTGCCTATCCTTGACACTCCCTCACCCACCTATACCTCTGACGCAAAGTTCTCACCTGCTAACTTCCTTGTCTGGGTCTCTCTTCTATGAATTTTAGGCAGGAGTGGGCTTCAAATTTTTTAGCAAGGGGCTCTCTTCCCTAATAACTGCCTGGGTGCACATGGTTGGGTGGGCATGGCCAACTCAACGCTACTCCCACCCAGTCACATGACCCCCCCAGCCATGTCTACTGAGGGTTTTGTTGCTCCTGGTGTTTTCTGTGGGAAATGCCTCTCTCTTTCTCTCTCTCCCTCCCTGTCCCCCTCCCTCCCTCTCATTTCTGTTTTTCTCTTTTTTCCACCCCTCTCCTTTTTCTTCTTCCTTTCTTTCCCTCCCTCCTTGATTTCCCTCTCTTTCTCTCCCTCCAGCCCTCTCATTTCTCTCCTCTCTCATTTGTTTCTCTTTTCCCTTTTTCATTCTCTCCATCATTTTCCCATTTCTCTTTCTTTTTCACCCCTTTTCTCTCTCATTTCTCTTTTTCTCTCCTTTTTTCTTTTTCCTCTTTCTTTCTTTCTTTCTTTCTTTTTCTTTCTTTCTCTTCCTTCTCTCTCTCATTTGTTTCCCTGTCTTTTCCCTCTCTCTTATTCTCTCCCTCCAGCCCTCTCTCATTTCTGTGTCCCTCTCCCCCTTCTCTCTCCCTCTCTCTCTCTTATTTGTTTCTCTCGTTCCTCTCTCTCATTCTCTCCATCATTTTCTCATTTCTCTCTCGCGCCTGAGATGACACGATGGGGACCGTGGCTGAGCAGTGCATTTTGTGACAGACTGCTTTTTACGATTCCGTGTCCTTCGCGGGCACCTCAACGCCAGCCACGGTCCCCTTCCTGTCGGCTCCGCCACTGCCGCCGCCACTGCCGCCGCCACTGCCAAATGCAATGAGGAAAGAGCTCTGGCTTTCCTACGCAGCGCGGCCGGCTACTCACGGGAGCGCGCAGGGGGAGCGGGAGAAGGAACTGGCGTTGCCACCTCCTTGATCCCAGCCTAGGAGGGTATCCTGCTTGTGTGTGTGCGCGTGCGTGCACGAAAGAGAGAGAGAGAGAGAGAGAGAAAGGGATACTCCCCTTTTCTCTCTCTCATCTCTCTGCTCGCCCCTTGTGCGGCGGGAGGCGAAGGCTGCCTTGACTGCAAATGTGGCACGTAGGCAAGTACGGGGCCGCTTCGCTTCTGCACTCTGGCTCTGGCAACCAGGGCGGGGTGGGGCCAACCAAGGGTGGGATTTGGGGACTCACCGAGCTCCGCAGAGTCTTAGCTAGGCTAGAGGATTGCCCACGGCCCTGCGAGCCCCTAGCAGGCCACCCCTGATTTTAGGCTATGAAGAGAAAACAAAAGTTGTCTGTCTCAGAGAACAAAATGAAAAGGGAAATCATCTACAGAAAGGAAGGAGTAGAAAGCTCACTCCACTAATCTAGCTTACATAATTGTGAAGATAAAAGCAATGGAAGAAAGTTAATAGATATTAACAAAGTTATAGATACATTACACAGGTAACATCTTGGTATGTAATTATCGTAAACGTCAGTGTCCTACAGGATGCCCAGACTAATTTATCTGCTTCACAATTGAAGCTGATTGAAACAGAATTTGGTATCCCTCACACAATGATTTCATAGGTGATTGCATAGAATAAACTGACCTATTTGGTTTCAATTGCAATTTTGGGGGAAATTCTTTCATTACTATTTGATTCGGGGACTGCTTCTGCTCACTTTCATGTCTTACCTACCATGATATCGGCAAAGACCATGGACTAAATGGCTATAGAAAATACCACCATTGCCCTTTTACCTACATGTGTTTCTATTTGCAGCTATTACATGGAAGAGTAATTAGCAACAGCAATAGCATTTAGACTTATATATCACTCCATAGTGCTTTATATAGTACTCTGGCCAGTTTACAATGTCAGCAACAGAGTCCCCATTTTATTGACCTTGGAAGGATGGAAGGCTGAGTCAATCTTCATGTATACATTTATTATGTTTTATAAATTGGAATACAATACAAAACAGGTAAACAAAACAGAAAAAGTCAATCTTGAGCCACATCAAGTTGAACTCTGGACTCTATATTAATAATTATACTATATATCATATATCATTATCATATATATCTTCTACTGAATCAAGAGTTTAGCAGTTTAGGATTTTGAAAACTCAAGGACTGTTCCAAACAACCCATCCTCTGTAGCGTAACCCAAAGAGGTACTCCTCTTCTGAGAATAAACAGATCACTTCCTTTCTACCAGCAGCCTGCCTTGCATCTCATTTGTGATATCCTGATTTGGAAAAGGGACTCAGAGAATTCTTTTACCAAAACCAAATAATGTTTTAATTAATCAACTGTAAATTTAAAACAGAACTGTTCAATTTTAAAACTTTGTTTGGGAGTATTATTATGCCTTAAGGATGGAGTTTTTGATGTTATGAACATAGTTCAGAATTAAGAAGCAAGTTCTTGTTTCTTAAATGCAAGAATTTTTTAAAATCTTAGTTTGGAATTTTAAATATTTATTTAAATGTAACTGATGCACTAGGACCTAAAGAAACTAGTTTTGGTCTCTAACAAGAATCAGTATGGATAGCAACCTTTTTTTTTTTTTACTCGAAGTAAGATCCAGCAGTTGGTCCTGATTTCAAAATTTTGGAAATACAAAGCCACCCCCTCCCTGGTCACAACTCACTTTAGAAATAAACCCTTTTACCTTGTTCATGGGCTTTTATTTCAGACTGGAGCTGCAGGCATCGACCAGTTACTTGTGACTTCTTTGAGCAAAATTTAGTAAACAAGGCTTCCACAATTCGTTCTGTTTGTTCTTCAAATGTCACTGAGTTGTTCATCTTCAGGTATGTATTTCAAACTTATTTTTCTAATAATTGTTTCTTCTGTTGTCTAGAAGAGATTGAACATAAAAAGTCTCCAGCAACTTTCTTCATTTAGAGGTCAGAACAGGAAACACAATTTACAAAGTAAAATGATTTATATTTTCTGTAATACATCTGTAGTCCCACCACCACGGTTTTAAGATATTTTCATCTGTGATAACTACAAAATATTAATTACCAGAAGCATTCAGACTATCAAGTCCACCGATGCGTTCTCTTCTACCATTCAAGATATTCAGTTGAGTAAAAGGAAATAGAATTTGATATGTGATATCATATGCATGGCCTTTGGACTCCAGGGCATTTTCATGTCATTGCCACAGCAGTAATATCTTTCATTAAACAGATATTCAATTTTTGTCAACAATTCTTTCAGTTACTCTAGATGCATACTATAAATCTTCCATAAGTCCCCTTCAACTTAATCTTGACCCCTAACAACTTTATGAATCCATCTACCGATATGTAGGCTTTATTGACAACAATGTGAAACTTATCTGCTAATGCCTCCCCCCCCATTTGTATCCTAAGGACAATCCTTGTTCCTGTTTCTTGATACTAACCCATCCAACTTCTAACGGGGAGTTCTCCTGCATTGCTTTTAGAGATCAGCTAAGCTTGGCTCAGCACTGTTATCTACTTGAACTTCTAGACATATTTTTTATTTAAATGTATTGCCTGCCTGAATGAGTGAATATATTGTGCTTATCACAGCTGAGAAATATTATAATCCTTAGATGTTAACATAACCAGGAAACAGAACCCTTCACACTCTTAGGACCCCAGGCCCAGGGATATAAACAGGTCTTCAATGCCTTCTGAGCATTGCCTTCTGAGTGGCATTTCCGGGGAAGCAATGGAAGACTGAAGACAACTTCACTTTTAGTGGAGCCAGTAGCCATAGTGGAAAGTGCAACCAGTGAATGGATTGGCTCCCCAAACTCCTCTCTAGATTAAGGAGAAGTTTTGGGATTGCTCATAGTGCTTCCAACAGATGTTCTCTATAACAATAGCTATATTTTGGAAATTAAAAAATTAATTTGGAAATAAAAAAAGAATAATTACAATGTTGATTTTGGAAAGCTTTTAAATTGACTAAAAGGGTCAGATTTTGAAACACAAAAAGATACCTGCTGTGGTTTGTTTAAAATTTTATTAAAATATATAAAGATTTTGAGTTTAAGAAATTGTTTCCTGGGAAAATGTTGTGAACGAAAGAAAAACATGATAACAGGAGACAGTGGTTACTATAGGCCAGGGGTGCCACACTCGATTTCATTGAGGGCCGCATCAGGGTTGTTTGACCTTGGGGGGCCGGGTGGGCATGGCCAGGTTGGGTGTGGCCATCTCAACATCACACTCGTGTTGGGGGTGCCTGTGGTGGCCTGAGCGCTCTACCAGCAGCCCTCCCAAGCTCTGTTTTCGCTGGCAGAAGCACTTCAGGCCAGTCCTTCGCTGTTTCCAGGGTGGCTCTGCAGGCCAGATCTAAACACCTCATGAGCCAGATCTGGCCCATGTGCCTTGAGTTTGACACCTGTGCTATAGGCAATCAGAAATATTTAATTTTAACTCAGAAAAGTTAGTTGGACAATTTTCTTACTTTGGATTTATAAAAGAAATGTGTTATACTTATAAAGAAAATCCTATAAATCAGTTTTTGTGATATTACTTACAAGGAATAACCATCAAGGTTTTTAAAAGTAAAATGAATGTGTACAAAGTTGGGTTAATTCAACCAAGGTTAAAATCTTTATGATTCTTTTTTGTTTTCTCCAGAAGCTTTTAATTGATTATTCTTGATTTAGGACTGAATGATGAAGCTTTAAAGATTTGCTAATAGGTAAGATATGGGAATAAGGTGTTGCATTTTTAGAGAAAGTGATACATTAATTTGTGGGATATCATTTCAAAGGATTAAAAATTAATATGTTGTTTCCGAAGAGTCATGTAAAAGCTATTTATAGATATCAAATAAAATATGACACTTTTTTTCCTTTGTAACTTTAGAGAAAATGACAACATACTGTACAAAGTGAATGAAAAAAGTATGAAATTATTTTAAGTTAAAATGCGTATGTTATTTCTGATGTCTTAATCAACTGCTGCTACATAAGATCTCATCTTTTATCTATTAACAAATAATATTCATCATTCAGAGGCTTTATTATTTAGTGGATGAGATTTGCAATGAAGAGATTTTTGACTGAAATATTAAAGAAGGTATTAAATTGCTGAAAACATTTGTACTTGTGATGGAGAGTCATTTCTTTCTATACTTTTCTTTTTTAATTTTTATATTTTCCCTTTTTCTCTCACACTGTTTTTTTCTTTTTCTCTCTTCACTTTTTCACATTTCTTTATACATTTCCCTAGTTTTGTACTGATTTATTTTTGAATAGTTAATAATGTTCACCCTTCTCCAGGCAACAGACTGCTTTCTCCAAAGTCCTCTTTTACACCCCAGCTTTCTGACTTCACAATAGAGTGCCAAAACTTTTAGTACAATTAAACTGCAAATGAAATAGGCTCCTGCACTTGTTTATTTTCAAGGAGAGCAGCTCTGCTATACCAGTGAGAAAAGCCTTTTTCCTGCCTGCAAAGAAGCAGCAGCTGTGTTCCTCATGCTCCAGAAGAAACCTAACGACACCTAATGACAATAGAGCTTTTCTACCTTTCTTAGACTTTGGAACTCATTTGCCAAAATAATGTTGTCTCTAAAAGGCTCCAAAGAGCCTAATTAATCCTTTCAATGGGATGTGATTCTCAGCCACAAGGCAACGGGGATAGCCAGCTTTTTCTTTCTAAGGCTTTGCTCTGAATTAAAACATGCACATGAGATTTAGAAAACATTGTATAACTCTCAATAAGGTAGATGTCAGCTTTGGAATCATTATTAAAAGCTGCCACATAACTGTGGAGATATGGAGGGGGGCTGATATTATTCGAGTAGCTTTCAGTAGACAAAATAAATGCTTTAGTAATTCAAGGTCATTGTGAATGGCGCAGGGAGAATTGGAACTGAAGGGGGATTGGTTCATGTGATGTATAATAGGGGGGAAAGGGGGAAGGTTGTAGGTTGGGTCATTGTGGGAAGTGGGGGGAAAACTTACTTTCAGAATTCCACAGATGTGCCAAGTTCTATTCTAATAAAAGTACTTTGAGATTATGTTTGTCTTGGAGTTACTGGCTGGAATGGATAATCTTTGGAATGCTGACAGCAGAATGCTTAATACCAGTTACTGCTAAGTAATTTAAATTTCCAATTCAATTATACCAGATAACTATATGTAGATACTACACATGAGCAATATAGGTTATATCAGAGTAATAAATTGAAGGCAAACAATTGTAATTTGGTTCAAATGAGGTAAATTTCCAGATAAGGCATATATTACAGTCTTGAACTTTAATAACCCATATTTCTTCTATCTTTCTTATTCTTAGGTATTTGTAACTATCTTCTTCACATACCAATATGGTTAGTTAAAGCTTTCTAATATGCTTTACAATTTTTTTCTGAGATATTTTATCCTGCAAATGTTTATATAGAGAGAAGTGACACCAACTAACAACCCAGGAAATTAAGATGCAAGTAAGGCTCCAGTCTCCCCAAATATAGACATTTCCTTTGTATGAAACAGGAATATATTAATAACTAGGACCAAGGAATTGATGATCTACTAAAGCAAGGGACTGTAAATTGGTGCAATGTATTGTGTGGAACTGTGGCTGCAGGAATTATCTATCCAATTCCTTGACGGACAATTTAATCACAAGGATAACCAAGCTATTATGAGTTTCTTTTTAAATTAATTAAATTTATTTTGTTTCTTCACAGAATTGCCTTTTCAATTCATTTGCAGTTCCATTTCAGATTTGAAGCAACTCTCCAGCTCTATTTCCTCCAAAATAGCAGATGAGTCTTTTACATTGGAAGCAAGAAACTATGGGCTGTTTAGACTTCTTCCAAGATTACCCTAAAAAAAAGAAAGAAAGAAAAATATTGCTAATCAAATAAGGGTGGAAGGAGCAATAAATGATCTTTCTCAAAAGTAAATAGTAAAGATCCTGAATCCATTGTTGTGAAACACATTGGGATTTTGATTTAAGACCTGAAGATGACATCAGTAGATGCCACTGCATTTGCCTCCATACTTTAACTCAGTACTTATGCACAAGATAAGGATATGGTCCCATCCATTAAATATGAAAGCAGCTTGCTTGCCTGTCTTCAGCAATCAACTCCTTCTGCTTGTTGTTTGGGAATTGTAGATTAGTGACATCCATGATTCAGGACATAAGGGACTCTGCACTTATGTGCATGTGAGAAAGGAGTGGATCATTTTGTATTAGTGCAGATTGTTTTACAGTTAGAAATATTTCAGTTAAAACTGAGGAATAAATCTTTAAAATAGGACATTGAATTTGTCTCATGTAGTGTTTCCAGATTGTTGACTGTTTGATAATTTTATTCACTGGAAATAATGAAATAGTAATTCATGTTATTCTGCTGGTTATTTTTTTTCTGTTTTCTGAGCTTTTGAAAGTTGGCCTTGAGTGCAATTACCCAAGTGCTAAGTCACAGTTAAACATTAGTTTAACTTACCCAACCACCCTGTCTTTCAATATAGCCTCTCAGTTCAGGATTTCCATTGATTGTTTCTGTGAGTATGTTTATCTGGCCCTTATCTCTATGAGTTTTCTTTATAAGTTTCTCAAACAACTTCACAGCAGCAGCTAGAAAAACTCTTTCAGACTCTAGCCCAGGAGTTTGACTGATCCAATTCCTGCTGAGAGATTCTGTTACTTCTCCAAATTTCTTTATCTGTAAACATAGAGTGAATATTTTTTAAATAAAATGCAACTATTGTAAGACAACACGAATTTATGGTGGGGAACAGCTTGGTTCACCTTAAAATTTGTATCAAACATTTATTAATAGAATCAAAGATCTGTTTTGTTCAACTTATGCAACAAAAGAGACAATCGTAACACTTAAAATATTTCAATTAAAGCTTAGAATAATCTAAGTTTTATGAACCAACCAGGTAACTTCTTGGTAAAACAGATGAAGATCAAGAGCTGCTGAAGAGACAAGCAAATATTACAGATTACAGATTAACAGAGTTGGAAGGGACTTTGTAGGTCATCTAGTCCAACCCTCTACCCTAGCAGGAGACCCTACACCATTTCTGACAAATGGCAGTCTAATCTCTTCTTAAAAATCTTCATGAAGGATGAAGTAATGAAGCTCCTCATCATTATATTAAATAATAAATCATCATTATATTAAATCATTATATTAAATCATTATATTAAATAGTGATGTCAAAGCTTGACATGAGATCTTGGTACAATCATCTACCTCTCTTCAATTCTATACTGAATCATTTGAATCATTTGACTTTCTTGCCTTGGTTTTGGTATTATTCCTGACTAAATCTAATCATTAGATAATAAAAATGAAGCTACAAGGATTATGGACAAAGAAGTCAGAGGATACACAGCATTATTTTTATTAGTGCCTAAAATAACAAAGGAATGAAAAATAGTGAAAGAAGAATGGAAAGAAATAAAATAAGATGAAAGAACAGGGATATAAGTGGCAACTGCAGTGCCTTGTATCCTATAATCATTGGTATATTAATCTGTTGGTCTAAATAGACCTCACATAGCTCTAATCACTGTACTGCTCTTGAAAATGTAACAGAATAGATGTGAAACCAGCATAAAGTAAAACTTCCTGTAAAGATTCACAATCCTAGAGGAGCTGGAACAGAATTGCAATGGAGATTGGTGGTCAGATGGTGAATTCTGGCTAATGAAATCTCTCTGGAAAAAGAAAAGGTTCAATCTAGTTGCAATATAGCCTATTCAGGAGTGTCAAACTGGTGGCCCCCCAGGCCAGATGTGTCGCACGCAGGCCATGCCCACCCCAGTTCTGTGAAGGAGAAAAACATCGTGAAATGTCACATGGCAACATGACAAGCAAGTTTGACACCTGTGAAAATGGACATATGGCTCACTGAATCTCATTTCTTAATCACTTTTGGAAATTGCTTAACTGCTTTTTAGCTATTAGGACGCTTCATGGTGATAAGTTTTAGAACAATGACTAAGGCTCTTTCAATCTTTGAAATTGATTATAAGACTCATTTCCATGGGAAAGAAAGAATTTTGAATTCTTTTAAGAAACAATAGGATGATGTTTTGAAAATTGGACACAAGAGGGAACTAGAAGGAACTAAAGATTAAAGGAGAAGAACAGTTAAATTTGACCTACTAAGACAGAATGGAGCAAAATACTTTTAACATTGGCCGGATTGAGGAATATTTGTGAACAATGGACCAGGAGTTCATTTTAAAAATCTCTGCCATTATAGAAAGGCTTTGTTTAAAAGATATTATGGAAGAGGAACAAATTTTATCAGGCAAGGCTGAGACTGGTTTGCAAGGGGACTTAAAAATGACATGCTATAAGAAAGATATGGAAAAAGTTGCTACACTGGATATTTGGGTTTTTTTTTTCTTTATATCTCACCTTTTAATAGTGAGGTTATGTAGAAAGTAAACATAGGATCAGTCCAAAAGGACTTATGTCTATACACCAATGCAGAGAGTATGAGAAATAAACAGGGTAAATTACAAATAATAAATAAGGGCAGATATGATATTGTTGCCATTATGGAAACTTGGTGAGATAAAACCCACAAATAGAATATACAGGTAGAGGGATTTAAATTATTTGAAAGAAACAGACCAAATAGGTGGAGGAGGTGGACTTGCACTACATATAAGAAATAACTACATCTCTACACAACAATTATGAAAACTGACTTGAATGCATTTGGGTCAATATAAAAGGGGGAAATGACATTGCCATAGATGTATACTACAGGCCACCCAACCAAATAGAAGAAATAGATGAACTTTTTGCTAATCAGTTAACTGACTAGGCATGTAGGAAGCAATAGTAATGGGGGACTTTAACTACTCTGACATCAACTGGGAGACAAACTCTGCACCAAGTGGAAGATCAAACAGGTTCCTGACAAACGTAGCCGACAACTTTTTCTCCCAAAAAGTAGAGACAGGAACTAGGGGATCAGCCATATTGGACTTAATTCTCACTAACAGAGATGAAATGATAGAAGGTGTTGAAGCTACAGGGTGAGTAATCATGCAATATTGGAATTCAACATTATGCAAGTACATGCAATAGAACAAAGCCAAACTAGAGCCTTGGACTTTAAAAGAGCCAATTTTAATAAACTTAGAGCTTGGGAAAGATTCTATGGATGAGAATCCTCAAGGGGAAAACAACCCAAGAAACTTGGGAAACTTTGAAAAGTGATATTATAAAAGACCAGTCTAGCACAATTCCACAGGGGAAAAAATAACAGTTCTCAAAAGAAATCAGCATGGCTACATAAAGAACTCTCTGATAAATTGAAAGATGAAAAGGATAAGTATAAAAAGTGGAAAGAGGGGAATATAACTAAGGCAAAATATCTGCAAATAGCCAGAGCCTACAATGATGAAGTGGGCAAAGCTAAGGCTCAAAATGAACTAAGGCTTGCAACAAAAGTAAAAATAACAACAACAACAAGCTTCTTTCAACATGTACAAAACAAGAAAAAAGTTAAGGAAATGATTGGTCCATTAATGGGAAAAAGTGGCAAGCAACTGAGAAAAGACAGAACTGCTTAACTCATTTTTTGCATCTGTCTTTACATAAAAAGAAAAAAGTCCAACCAATCAAAAACAGTACCATAAAAAAGATTAGGAATACAAATTAAAGTAGGCAAGAAAATGGTAAGTGAACACCTGTCCACTCTAGATGATTTCAAATCACCAGGACCAGATGGATTACATTCTAAAATTCTGGAGGAATTGGCAGACGTGATCTCAGAACCACTGAACTATATCTGTCAAAGATCCTGGAGCACTGGGGAACTACTAGAGGATTGGAAAAGAACTGATGTAATTCCCATCTTCAAAAAAAGAAAAAACAGATTCAGGAAACTACAGACTGACCTCAATACCTGGGAAGATTTTGGAAAAGATGATCAAGCACTGAATCTGTGAACAGCTAGAGACAAACAAAGTCCTAACCAAAGGCCAACATGGGTTTGTCAAAAACAGATCATACCAGACAAATCTTATTGCATTCTTTGATAAAGTAACAAAATTAGTGGACTACTTGATAAGATAAAAAAATGTGGGTTAAACAGCATTACCACCAGATGGATTCGTAATTGGCTGACCAACTACATTCAATGTGTAGTCCTCCATGGAACTGCATTTATATGGAGGGAAATATGCAGTGGGGTACCTCAAGGCTCAGTTTTACGCCCAGTATTCTTCAACATCTTCATCAATGATTTGGATGAGGGGATAGATGGAGAACTCATCAAATTTGCAGATGACACCAACCTGGCAGGAATAGAAGGATCTTGACATACTTGAACATTGGGCGCTTTCTTACAAAATGAAAATCAATGGTGAAGAAAAAAATAAGGTTCTACATTTAGGCAAGAAAAAACAAATGCAGAGGTATCATATGGTAGTAGTAGTAGTAACTGAGAGGAATCTACTGTACTAGTGGACAATCATTTAAATATGAGCCAGCAGTGTGCTGCAGCTATCAAAAAAAGCCAACATAATTCTGGGCTGCATAAACAGAGGGATAGAATCAAGATCACATGAAGTGTTAATACCACTTTATAATACTTTGGTAAGGCAGCACTTGGAGTACTGCATCCAGTTTTGGTTTCCATGATATAAAAAGATGTTGAGATACTACAAAGAGTGCAGAGAAGAGCAACAAAGATGATTAGGGGACCGAAGGCTAAAACATATAAAAATGGTTGCTGGAACTGGGTATGACTAGTCTGATGAAAAGAAGGACTAGGAGTGACATGATATCAGTGTTCCAACATCTCATGGATTGCCACAAAGAGGTAGTCAAGCTACTCTCCAAAGTACCTGAGGGCAGGACAAGAAATGATGTAAACCAATCAAGGAGAGACATAACCTAGAACTAAGGAGAAATTTCCTGACAGTTAGAACAACTAATCAGTGCAACAACTTGCCTCCTGAAGTTGTGAATGCTCCAACGCTGGAATTTTTAAAGAGATTGAACAACTATTTGTCTGAAATGGTGTGAGCAGGGGGTTGGAATAAAAGACTTCCAAAGTCCCCTCCAAGTTCCAACTCTGTTATTTTGTTAAGATTCTGTTTTTACTTTTATAAATAACTCAAGGTGTTAATACATACATAATAATACATAAGACTCTTTTTTCCTCCTATTTTCCCTACAACAACAACCCTGTGAATTGAGTTGGGCTGAGAGAGAATGACTGGCTCAAGGTCACCCAGCTGTCTTCCATGCCTATAACACAGGAGTGGAATTCACAGTCTCCAGCACCTTAACTACTAGACCAAATGTGCAAGTGAAACTGTGATGTCTTAATAATTAAGAGGGATATACAAATAACAAACCAAAAGAGTGACTTGGGTATGTATATCCCTATATGAAATTTACAAAAGAGACTTTTTTTTAAGTTTTGAAGGATTTTGTGAGAAGGGATAGAGGGAAAAAAATGAAAATAAATCAAGTTCTAAGACATTATTTGAAGGGATTAAATATTAAGATTGTTGAAGTAAAAGGAAGGGATATAAAGTTATGTGATTAAGGTTATATACTGTTGGTATGTTGTTAATTCTGCTAATAATAAGGCTTTAAATATTTTTTTATAGATAAGAGATGACATATAGGAAGAACAGATCATTTGTTGTAGTTAAGAGAAGGTAATGAGTTACTAAAATTGTTTATACTTGGAATATGGAATATAAAAGGGGAAACTATTTCTTTATATTTTTACTTTTTTACTATATTGTTTTTCTTTCTTTCTATTTTGCCTCCTTCCTGAACTTGGTTTTTCTTTTTAAGTTTGTACTTTGTTAATTTGTAACATTCAACAAAATTACTATTTTTAAAAAACAAAACACATCAAACTAGGACAGTCCAAAGTAGCCAATGTAAAATGTTTTGCATCTATGAGGCAGCAGAAAAATATTCTGGAAAAATGTACATCTACATAGATAATTTCTATTAGATAATGGTACATTAAAACTAATGGATTTGGTCCAGAATGCTTAGGGAGGTAGTTACCTTTGTTATGCTTTCCTCTGCAATAACTGCCTGCACATGGCCATCCAACTCTGCTTTGTACTGATCTCTTATGGATCTCAGTAATATGGCAATATCAATTGGATCAAAACTGCTTGTAGAATCAACTGTCGGTTAACAGAAAGCCAATGCACATTTACAGTTTCAGTCTCTTATAAAAATATTCTAATTGGTCTTCTCTTCCATTTCAATTCTAATCCTTTTGATGTGTCCCATTTATTTATCTACATGATAAATTTAGCGAAAGAGAATTTAAATTTGCTTGTTTAAAAAATACATAAAATTTGTAACCTTAATAAAGTTAGAATCACTTCTTCCGTAACTATTCAGAGTTAGGAAAGGGTGAAGCAGAGGGGGGAAGCAAAACCAGCCTGTAAAGTTGTGGTTAATGCAGCATCCTCGCAGTCATGTGATGACCATTTCTGACATTCTCTACTGGCATCTCATAAGCAACGTCAATGGGGCAGCCGGCAGGAAGTTGCAAGTTACTCCTTCTGCTTTTCCACATGCCCATGCTCTATATTGCCTGCCTTTGGCACCTTCCCTATCCCCCTTATGGCACCCACATCCTCCAATGCTCCATTAGCACTTGCTTGTGACATTACCTGCCCACTCATAGCTCTCAAGCACAGTTCTTACCTGCCGGCCCACTTGCCTGGGCCCTGTGTCCTATCAGTTCTGGGTCTATGAAGAGAAAACAAAGTTTTCTATCTCAGAGAACAAGGAACTGAAAAGGGGAATCATCTAGAGAAAGGCAGAGGGAGAAAGGTACCTATGAAGCTCACTTAGCTTGCACAATTGTGAAGATAAAAGAAGAGGAGGCAGTAATAGATACATTGCACAGGGGACATCTTGGTATTGTGAGACATTTTATATCCAAATATATTTTATTCTTTATACTGTTTCCATTTTTGCCTTAAATATATTAACCGAATCCACAACAGCCTGAGAATCAGTATCTCCAAATTAATCAAATTAGCAAACTTCCTCAAACTTGAAATAAGTCACCAAGACCTAATCCACATATCAAAAGATAAGGTCTGCAAACACAAATAGAGTTAATTAAATTAAGTCTCCCAATAGAACTATATATTCACAAGAATACATACACACACACACCTCACCACGTAGACACTTTCCCACCCCAGGCAAGCAAACTGTTTTGCTTTTAGGAATACATATTTCTATTTTCCTCATAGCTGTCTGGATCTCATTTTTACTTACTCTTGCATATTTGAGTTGGAACCCAAAATTATTCTTCTGACAGTATGTAATGGTTGTAAACCAGGGTGGGATTCTACTGGTTCTCACCTATTCGCTAGAACCTGTTGTTAACTTTCTAAGGAGTTCGGAGAACTGGTTGTTAGAAGAAATCTCTTGTTTTTTTCCCACTTTATAGGAATAATCCTGTAATGAAGACAGGAAACATTCTGGTGTTGTTTCTAGCCTAATCTTTATTGCTCTGCTTACAGAAATGCCTCTCCATTTCTCCGTTAACCCTTATTACAATCTTGACAGTATGCCTAGACTTCCTGAGGCCTGAGCTTCTCTGGAGTTTTTTTTTTCTTTGCTGGTACTTGACTTTCTTAAAGGGGAAGGTTGTTCTAAGCTTTTTATATTGCTGTTGGGAGGAAATACTTCTCCTGTTGGAGTTCTTCCAGCTGGGATGCAACTATCAGTGCTTTGAATAAATAATTGAATAACGCAGCAGAGCTGCCAGAAAGAAGCTTTTAATGACAAGGAACCAAGATGAGTGACATTTAGCAAGGCTTCTTGGCTAGCTAGAAAGACTGACATTCAAACGTGAGTTTACATACCCTTTCTCAGTTTTGGTCTAAAACTGGTTTTTGGTGAAGTTTAATTCTGCTTGGTGATATTTAATCCTATGTTTATTGATGGGATAATTTTCCCTATTCAGCTTTGTTTGGAAGGAAAAAGGTGAATCTCTGTTCCTGAAAAGAAACTGGGTTGAGAAATCTGGCTAGTTCCTGTGTCTATTTGTTCTAGTAATTGGTTTAACAAGCAACAGCTACTGTTGTGATTTACTTATTTGTATTGTGTTTGAATTTTTTCCTGCCTCGTGGTTTCTTTTTTCTATCGGGGTGTGTGTGTGTGTCTTCCTTTACTGTTTTAGTGGTTCCTGGTATTATTCTTTTGGGTTGTACTTCCAAGAAGCAGGATGCAAACTTGGCACTGATTTTTTTACTGCCTTTCTGGGTGAGGCATGTGATCTTTTCTTAAATCTGGATTTCCTTAGGATATCTTGTGAGGGGAGTGAGACCAGCTGGTATCTTTAAGTGGTGCAAATGAATCTAAGGATTGCTTCTCCTGTGTGTGCTCTTTCTGGAGAGTTTAAATGACCTCTCTGCTAAAGGGTTTCACTTTATGAGCAAGAGATGGCTGCTTGATAGTTATCACTGCATTTTAACTATTTTCAATCCACAAAGTGCTCTGGCACTCTACTTGATTTGTAACTCCAGCTTGCAGGTATTTTTAATCTAATGATTGGTATTTAGGGCAGCTTTTTGCAAGCAAAGAAGTTTTTTTGTATTTTTGTACAGGTAATCCTTGACTTACAACAGTTCATTTAGTGACCATTTAAAGTTACAATGAAAAAAGTGACTTATGACCATTTTTCACACTTATGACATTGCAGCATCCCCATATTCACGAGAGGCCAGGCGAGCAGAAGCGCCCCTCGATGTGAGTGACGTCGAGTTGGACATGCCCAGCCAGTCACATGGCCACCCAGCTACACCTACCTAGCTGGTCATTAGGGCAGAGAACCAGTTGTTAAATTATTTGAATCCCACCCCTGGTTGTAAACCTCAAAATGGTACACAGCAGGCTCAGACTAAATTATTTTGTTTCAGAATTGATGTGTCTGAGACAGAATTTGAAGTCACTCACAGAATGATTTCACAAGTGATTGCATAGAATAAACTGATCTATCTGGTTTCAGTTTCAATTTGGAGACCAATTTGTTTGTTTGTCAGGGTTCCAGTTAACCAACTCTAAACCTCCCTTGGGTTTCCCCCTAGTTAAAAGTAAAGTTTTCTTTCTCCTGCCCATGCAGTCCATCACATGGTCCAATCAGGTTACAATCCAAGGTTCAGTTGGTCTCAGATCCCATGTCCTTGCACCTGGTGGGAAGTCCTTGGTTCTCAGAGGAAAGAATTTTATTTTGGCAACAATCCCCCAGCTATCTCTATCTCCCCCCTTCCGTTCCCATAGCTCCACTCATCTCCGCTATGACAGCCCTGAAGGTGCCAGGGGGAAATGGCTTCAGGGCCGACATTGTTACTATTAGATTTAGGGACTGTTTTTCTACTTGCCTACGCTATATAGTGCCTGTCTGTGGGTCCTTCCCTGACTCCCATGGTACCCACTCAACTTCCAATGCTCCACATGTTCCTTTGACATTCCTTCTCTCACCCATAGATCTCAAGTACAGTTCTTACCAGCAGGCACACTTGTCCAGGTCCTGTATCTTGTCAGTTCTAGGTCTGTGAAGAGAAAACAAAGTTTTCTATCTCAGAGGACAAGGAATTATAAAGGCAAAAATGTCAGATGATGCTCCATTCAAAATCCAAGAAAGAAATACTTAGACTCTTTTAATTAGAGAAAATATATCTTTTACTGGAAATCAAGTGGTAGCAACAAAAGAATTCTGAATCTGAGAAAATAGGCGCGTAAATCACATATACAAAGTAATGGCAACGTTCCCACCCCCAATAGTTCAATTGGTTCCTCGAATTAAAAGTTGTGTATACCATCATGTGGGCATCTCCAGGTGGTGATGAAGCTTCTGTCCGTTGACCTTGACATAGTTTGATAAAGAGTTGCAGCTGCGCATAGCATAGAATAGAAACCTAAACATAGAATAGAAACCTAAGCAAGAATGTACTCCCCCCAGTTTATACAGTTCTGGTTTGTAACACCTCCAGCTCACTTCCCATAATCATTCTCCCCCTCCTCCCCCCATTACTTATGACAGCCAAAAGATGCAAAGCAAAGGGAGAAAATCTTGAAGGCTGACATTCGGCCCTCCTAAAAAAAGACGTTAGTCCTAAAAAAGAAAAAAGAAAAGGTAATAGACAATATACAGGTAACAGCAGCATACTTATTTTCTTAGGGTTTATCAGGATATTTAGTACGAAATGCCTTGATAAGTGTAGGAGCTCTAACATCCTTCTCATTCACCCACTCAGCCTGGGAAGAAGGAAAATGTTTTCAAGCAACCAAATACTGAAGTCGACCCCTTCGTTTTCGAGAATCCAAAATTTCTTTAACTTCAAAATGTTGTTCACCTTCAATTAGCAATGGTACAGGAGGATCAACCTGAGTTGGTCTCAAGTCGGAAGTATGTTCAGGTTTTAATAAATGAACGTGGAAAATAGGGTGGATCCATCGAAGAGTTTTTGGTAATTTCAGTTGGACTGCCACAGGGTTTACAATTCGTTCAATTGAGAAAGGTCCAACATACTTAGGGCCAAGCTTTTTTCTATTCTAAGCATAGAATAGAAACCTAAGCAAGAATTTACTTCCCCCAGTTTATACAGTTCTGGTTTGTAACACCTCCAGCTCACTTCCCATAATCATTCTCCCCCTCCTCCCCCCGTTACTTATGACTGCTGAAAGATGCAAAGCAAAGGGAGAAAATCTTGAAGGCTGACAGAAAGTTACTTATGAAGCTCACTCAGCCAGCCTAGCTTGCATAATTGTAAAGATAAAAGAAGTGGAGGAAAGTTAATGGATGTTATCGTAGTAATAGATATATTGTACGGGGGTATCTTGGTATGTAATGGTTGTAAACCTCAAAATAGCAACAGCATGCTCAGACTAAATTATTTTGCTTCACAACTGATGTGCCTGAAACAGAATTTGGCATCCCTCACCCAATGATTTCACAAGTGATTGCATAGAATAAAGTTTTAGTTTTAATTTGGAGGCCAATTCTTATGTTACTATTAGAGCTGGGGCAGTGGTCGGATTCAAAATTTTTTACTACCAGTTCTGTGGGCGTGGCTTGGTGGGCGTGGCAGGGGAAGGATACTGCAAAATCCCCATTCGCTTCCCACCCCACTAACCTGCTTTCCAGCTCCATTCTCCTGTGTAGGGCAACCAAAGAAGTCCCAGCTGATCGGGATGGGAGGCAGAGAATAGATGGGAGTGGGACCAGTCAGAGGTGGTATTTGCCAGTTCTCAAACTACTCAAAATCTCCACTACTGGTTCTTCAGAACTGGTCAGAACCTGCTGAATACCACCTCTGAGCTGGGGACTGCTTCTGCTCACTTTTATGTCTTATGTCAGTGGCCATGATCATTGACTAAATGGCTATCAAAAATGCCATCATTGCTCTATTTCCTACATGTATTCCTATTTGCATCCATTATAAAGAAGAGTATTCATGTATATTGCATGTTTCCTGCTATTGAATCAGGAGTCTGACAATTCAGGATTTTGAAAACTCGAGGACTGACTTTGTTATAGGACCTGCCTGTATCTTAAAAACTGCCTCCTTAAAGTCCCATCCTCAACCATCTCAATGTAATGTTTTAAATATGTACTTGGATATAAATCCCACTTTCCTGTGCAGCACAACCCATGGTCATGCTAGCTAATGAGGCAAACATAGTCTTGCTGAAAATAGTAGATCTTGCAGGAGAATTAGCAATGTCCTGAAAATTTAGTACACATTAGATCAACTAATCTTTTAATTAATAGGCAGTAGATTTTTAAGCAAAACTATTCAGTTTCAAAATTTTATTGAATTTTAAACTTTTGTTTAAATGTAACTGATCAATTAGAGGGCAAAGGGTTAAAATCCCTTAGTGGTTTCCACTAGCATCTTTGAACTACATCAGGGGTGTCAAATTCAATTACATTGAGGGCTGTATCAGGGTTGCCTTTGACATTGGAAGGCTGGGGGGGGGCATGGAGGGGAGCCGGGGTGTGTGACCATGGTGGGCATGACACAGGACTGGGACTGTCACGGGTGTGGCCAAGTGCTAAGGCCAAGTGCTTCCCTGAGACTGTCACTCATACTCATTATAATCTTCCTTCCTTCCTTTTCTTTCTTCTTCATTCTCCTTTCTTCTTCCTTCCCTTTTTTCCTTATTTTTCCTTCCTTGGTCTCTTCCCATCTTTCCTTCTTTTTCTTTGTCTTTCCCCTTTCCCTTTCTCCTTTCCTGTTCATTTCTTGCATGCTCAAATGCAAAAGAGGTAACATTTCTCCTTTTGTTTTGTTTTTAGTTTTTTTTCCTGCCAGAGCACAGGGGGACCGCATGTGGCTCCCGCACCCCATTTTTACCCTGGACAGCCTCATGAAGCCCTCTGCCAGCAAAAACAAAGCCTGAGGGGGCCACACACAACCCCCCTGAGCTCCATTTTCACTGGCAGAGGGCTGCAGGAGGCCGTCATGGCCAAAAATGGGAGGGCTGCATGCCCCCCCCCCCCCCCCCGAGCTCCATTTTTGCTAGCAGAGGCACTGCAGGAAATAGCACTTTTGCTATTTCCAGGCCGGCTGTGTGGGCCAGATCTGGCTTGTGGGACTTGAGTTTGACACCCTTGCACTACAACAAATAGAAACTAACAAAAAATACAATGGTAACAAACTTATTTTTTTCCTCCAAGTTAGATGCAGCTCCTGGTCCTAACTTCAAAATTTGGGAAATACGAAGCCACCTACCCACCCACACTCATTGCAAATTTTCTTCCAAAAAATAGTCATTACCTTCAATTACAATCATTTTTCTAGACTGGAGAGGATATTCCTTCCTTGAGTAAACAGTAGTAAATAATCCTTCTACAATTTCTTTTGTCTGTTCTTCAAACATAATTTAATTGTTCATGTTCAGATATGTATTTCAAATAGAAGTTTCTGTCTTTATTTTTCCAAGAGTAGTTTCTTCTGTTGTCTAGAAAAGATCAAATATTAACAGCCTCCAGCAGCTTCCTTCATTTACATGTCAGAATATATATAACATTCAGCAGATACTTCTCAGAACAGGAAACATAATTTACAAAGTAAAATTATGTATGTTTCCTGTGAAACCTTGGTAGCCACACTATAGCCATTTTAATATATTGCCAACTATTATGAATAAGAAACATTAATTACCAGAAATCGATATCAAGTCCCCCAATGCTTTCTCTTCTATTATTCAAGACTCAGTTGCCTAAAAGGAAGTAGAATTTGATATTTGATATTGTATGCATAACCTTTGGACTCCAAGTCATTTCCAAGTGTCTATAATAGCAGCAATATGTCTCATTAAGTAACTACAACATGTTTCTATTTTTTCAACAATTCTTTCAGTTACTCTAGATGCATACTGTAAATCTCATCTGTTTGTAACTTTATAATATTTCACAATTATTTGCTCCCATTGAAGAGAAGTTGGGTTTTCCAAGTATAAAGTCCCCTTCAACGTTATCTTGACCCTTAACAGTTTTAGGTATCCATCCATTTAGGCTTTATTGGCTTGCTACTGCCTTTTTTTTCAAATTTGTATAAAGACAGTTCTGTTATTTCTTGACACTACTCCATCTAACTTCTAACAGTTTTACCCTGTGTTGTTTTTAAAGATTGGCTAAGCTTGGCTCTGCACTGCCTTCTGACTGAACTTCTAGATATTTGTTATTATATATTTAATTTTTTTGTCTGTCTAGCTACAGTGAGCTTATGGATATAGCAATATAGCAATAGCACTGAGACTTAATATACCACTTCACAGTGCTTTACAGCCCGCTCTGAATGGTTTACAGAGTCAGCATATTGCTCCCAACAATCTGGGTCCTCATTTTACGAACTTTGGAAGGGTGGAAGGCTGAGTCAACCTTGAGCCAGTGAGACTTGAACTGCTGGCAGCCAGCGGTCAGCAGGAGTAGCCTGCAATCTAACTACTGTGTCATAGTGTGCTATAGCAGCTGAGAAATATTATAATTCATAGATGTTACCATAATCAGGAAACAAGGCCCTTCACATTCTCAGGACCTCCGGCCCAGGGTTATAAACAGGCCTTCAATGCCTTCTGAGCATTGACTTCTGAGAGGCATTTCCAGGGAAGCAATGGTGGAACTGAAAACAACTTCAGTTTTAATGGAGCTATTAGCCATAGTGGAAAGTGGAACCAGTACTGCCCCAACTCACCCACACATCCATGTTGGTTTAGAGAGAGCTTTATTTTATCTTTTGCCCAGTGGTTCTGTTTCAGGTTTGAGCTCACCCACAGCTGCTACATTAGAACAGCAATTGGCTCGAGACCAAGTAGATAACAAGGAAATGAACATATGGCATAATGGTCTCAAAAATAAAGGCTTTGCCTGGGTAGTTTCGAAAGAGAAACCAAAATCAAACCTGAGGTTTGGAGCCACAAATTAGGTTTGTCAGCCAGTCAAATGGTCAGAGTTCAGGGTTTACAAGTAGAATTCACAGGAACGGCCAGGCACGAACAAGAGCCCAGACTGAACTTCCAGGCAATGGCCAATTAGTCCATCAAACAGATAACCAGCTGCTCAAACATGGTCCAAAACATGAACACAAAGCATCCCAGCAACAAATTAAATCCACCTAGCTCACGAATTGTAGTGTCTCAGAAACAGAAACAAACATCTGGCCATGACCCACATGTTGCTTCCAGCAATGCCTCCCTCTGCCTGCCATGCTAAATAGCTCCCAGTGCAGCCCATCAAGAGAAGTGGGACCTTTCCCCCAGAAATCTGACTGCCTCTCTGCCCTGCATACTCTGGAATCTACCACAGCAGGCAGCTCCTCTCCCTCTTCCTCACTGGCCTGCAAGCTCTCCCCAGCTGAGGCCTGTTCTGCTGGCAGTTCAGGGTCAGTAATTCATGAAGTGCCAGGAATGAAGTCCCTTGAAACCTCTGAGGAAGAGGAGGAGTCCACAGGACATATCACACTGCCTCAGCTCCTGCCCACTTAGCAGTTTGAAAGTATGCAAATGCAAGTAGATAAATCAACTTTGGTGGAAAGGTAAGAGCATTATGTATGCCTCAGTATATAGTCATGCTAGCCACATGGACTATGCTGGCTCCCTCAGCCAAGAAATTAAATGGAGATGAGCACTGGGCCCTAGAGTCAGACATGACTGGGCATGGAAACCTTTACCTTTTTAAAAAATACACTGAGTGATTTCCTTCCACCTATAATGAAAAAAGCTTTATGTAAGTTTAAAACATAAAAACATTTTTTTTTTTGGAAAAAAACAGCAATTTTGGAAAGCTTTAAAATGGTCTAAGGGGTCAGATTGACTAAAAATATGGTTTTGAAACATAAAAACACTTGCTACAGTTTTTTTACAATGTTACTAAAATATATAAATAGTATGAGTTTAAGAAATCTATTTCTGGGAAAATGTTCTAGATGAAAGAAAAGCAGGTAAGGGGAGACCCTGGTTACTAGAAACAATCAGAAATATTTTAATTAAAGGGGAAGCGCCCACTAGTACAGAATGGAAAAAAGTATTTTAATTCTAAAAGAATTCAAGACTATTTGGCAACAACATACCAAGATCTTTCTGTTTAGACTGTCTTGATACAATAAAAATGGACGTCAATAAAAAAATTAAAGGGGGATATAACAGTAAATCAGGCTATGGATTTCAAAATTGATAGGATACAAAAATGATACTAAGACATACAGGACCCCCAAATGAAACAAGCTAATTTAATTAATTAAAAAGGACACACACAAAATAACAAGCCTGATTTGAATATGTAGATTTTAACTCAGAAAAGTAACTTGGACAATTTTCTTACTTTGGATTTATAAAAGAAACATATTATACTTAAGAATAAATTCCTGAGGAAAAAATCAAGAGAGAAAGAAAATAAGCCTTGGGGTCATTACTTACAAGGAAGAAGCCTTTTTAAAATAAAATGAATGTTGGCTTATTCAATCAAGTTAAAATGTATGTGATTCTTTATTTTTTCCAGAAACTGTTAATGAATGATGGGGCTTTAAAGATTTGTTTATAGATAAGATATAGGAATGAGGATTCTCACATGAGATTTGGGAAACGTTGTGCAATCATGGCATAATTCCAGTTTGCCACGGGTTTTATTTTGACATCAGTTTCTCAGCTTGAAGAGTGGAAAGTATGGGACTCCAAACTGAAAGAATGCAAATAAATGTACACCTAAGGAGAGAAATGTAGCTTAATTCTTGAATAATACAGTTCTTTTCTTGAATGCATGAAACTTTTTCTGAAGAACTATTGAAGTGGCAAAAGCAGCATGCAGTGTCCTCTTCCAATACAAGTACTAATTAAAAAAAGAAGGAAAAAGAGGGCAGCTTATCCAAAAATATTGCTGTTTTTCCCAGCACAGAACATAAGTTTCATCTGGGTTGAGAAAAAAATAGATGCAACATTTTCTCCTTCTACAGTCATTTTTTTTTCCAGAGCAGAAGAACCAATTCCTGCACAGAAAAATAAAGGCAGGCTGCAAATTTACTTGAGTTGCAGAAATAGTAAAATGATTTTGAAAGTGACAAAATTTTCCTGAGACAAGAGAAAAACATACACCTTTTTTAAACCTCCTACTTTTAGATCAAAGGTCTTCTACTTTATTTTTTTTTATTCAGTATTAGTATGGGTTTTTCAAATACAGTGTACGTTAGACTAGCTATCTGAATATTCAACTATTCTAATTTTTTTCCTATGTATAGTAAGAGATTTTACAAAGCTGAAGCAAACATACAAACTGATTGTTGAATAAACCTAGAAAAAAATCCATGTAAGAGCAAACCACTTCAGATTCATGTTACCTTCCACTGAACTGTCCTCTGAACTAACACCCTTCCTTTTACAGGAACAGCTGGAAAACATGGCTTTTTCAAAGGGGCTTTTGAGGGTAAGATCATACCAGCACTGAATGATAGAAGAATTTTTTGATTGTAATTTTATCCAGAATGGTTACTATTAACTTTAACCCTAGTTGTAGTGCACTGTAAACCGCCATTTTTTTGGAAATGAAATAGCATCTGAATGATTTTATACACCTTGATACTCCATTCACTTAGCATCTAAGTGAAGCAGCTGCACTGCAGTTGGTAAGACCACTGCCAACAAAAGCACTGGCAGCACTTTGCCAAAGTGTATAGAAGACTGGTCAGCAGCCAAAAGAATGGAATTTATATCCCAATACCAAAGAAAGGTGATACAAAACACTATTCCAACCACTGAACCATAGCCTTGATACCACATGTGAATAACGTTTTCTTGAATCCAACTGCCAACAAGAAACTGCCTGATGTAGAAGCATGATTTCGGAAAGGAAGAGGAATATGTGCCAATCCTATATTGGATAATGGAAAAAGCACAGGAACACCAAAAAGCACTCTATGTGCTTTATTGACTATGCAAATGCCTTTGATTGTGTTGACCGTAATAAGCTCTGGAACTGCCTCAAACAACTGAGAATATCACACCACATCCAGCTCATCCACTCTAATCAGGCAGCCATTGTAAGAATGGAGAGACAAAATGGCTCAGAATTGAAAAAGGCACACAAGGTTCCATCCTGTCATCCATACTATTCAACGTGTACACAGACATAGTTTTTGAAAATGCACATTTGGAGCAATCTGCCATTGGGGTTAAAATCGGTGGTAGGAGTATCAACCTCTGATATGCAGATGATACATTACTCGTGAAAGAGAAAGAGGATTTGGAGTGATTAATCATGAGAGTCAAAGATAAGAAATGAGAACACATGGGCCAGTGACTAATGTATAATGTATTTGTTTCCTTAGTTTTTTTCTTTTATTACAATATCAAATTTCCCCACCCAATGAAACTATTTTAGTTGCATACAAAATATTTATTACCAT